ATTCGAATCATGCAAATGTTTGTCGAACCACGCTATAGAATATAACGTTAACCCTCATGATTGTCCAAGCGCGTTATAGATTGTCAATGATTATGCTAATAGCACTAATGAATTTTCACTTTTGGGTAAATGATTGTCCATAAATGCAATTGTTTGTCATTTGGTGTTATTGAAGTTTAATTTCGCGCACAAGAAAATACATTCCGCGCATATGAATGTACGAACGCGCTATTGATTGTCCATTGATGCCTATGAATGTACACGCATATTCAATTGTCGTTACTGAAAGTTGATCTGTGCTAATGATGTTACATATCTAGATTGGGGTCTTAGAGTACCAGCAACCCCCTTCCCCACTGACAGTTTAAAAAATCTATTAAGCTTTAGCTGTTGTTCACAGCTTAGGACATACTCTTATTCTTTGCTTACCAGCTTGGGTGCATTTTGGCAGTAACAAGATAAATATCAACACTGTAACAGAAAGAGAGACACGTATCAGTTACATGTAACAAAATGGGTTTAGATATGGAAGCAAAAAAAAAAAAAAAATTCAAAAAACTTTGATACATTAGATAAAATAAGAACTAGAATATGCTTTTTTTTGAACTGTAGCAATGGTATTTGATACTCTAGGTATGGGATTTGATGTACTGGGAATGTGATATGATACACTGGATACTGTGAATGGGATGTGATACACTTGGTACTGGGAATGAGATATGATACAATCGTATTGGGAATGGGATTTGATACACTTGGTACTGGGAATGGGATTTGATACACTTGGTACTGGGAATGAGATATGATACAATCGTATTGGGAATGGGATTTGATACACTTGGTGTACAAGTCCGTAAAAGTAATACGGTATTAAGGACAAAGCGGGGGCGGATTGTCCAGCGTCCCCAGAGGTTCCAATAAACTTAATTAATTCAAAGTATAAAAGGAAAAGTTCTTTCTTATGTAACTAGTCAGTTACTGTCAAGTAAGCAGTGAATACTAATAAATATAACTGACTCGAAGATTCCGAAGCCGCAWRTTTTGTCTTATATGGGCCCGAACATTTGGTAGCAGAGCAAGGTTACAGAATTAAAGCCAGTGTTATCAAGTATAACAAGATGTTTTATAAGTTTCAAGGACAGTTTCAAGTAATTTCAAGATGTATTAAGTTTTGTTCATAAGGTTCAGCGAGGCATAGATAAGTTTCGAAGAGGTCATGGCGGCCAATAAAGAGATTATTTCTTCAATGACAGCAGCAGATATTAAGAACGAACTGGAAGCTAATGGACTATCAACAATTGGAACAAAGACCGAACTTGTCCAAAGACTATATTCTTTTCGAAAAGGTAAGCATACACCTTTGATAGCGCCATCATTTAGCTTTGAATATACTCCATCAAAATTACACGAAGAAGTRAAAGGGTTAATCGAGAAAGTAAGTGAGAGAGAAAAGGAAATCGATGAAAAGATCTCGTCACAATTTGAAAAATTAAGTAAACAACTAATGCTTTTTGTTGGCTCACATGTTCAAAACGAGCATATTTCATCAGATGTTGGAGAGAGCGAGAAGGTGCACGAGGAAAAGGCTGTTGTTACAGACATCGTCAAATTAAACCGAAAGTTAAAGATGTTTGGAAGAAGTATCGAGATGATTTTTGCAGAAATAGAACATTTACAAAAGAATGCGAATGCTCGCCTCGAAATGGAAAGTGCGTTACGTCGCCTAAATAATTTAGAAGAAAGTTACAGTAACATAGTTCAAGAAATCATCGCGTCAATAAAAGATGAAATTGCCGTTGACGAAGAAATTCAGAAGTGGGCCAGTTTTCAACAAGAAATTATAAGAATTTC